AATTTGTAGAAGGCAGACCACCTGACCAATCTGGGGGTCCAGAAGGTGGTGAACTACAGATTTGCAACAGGCCATCCAACCATGCAAACTTTAGGACCACACTGCTTAATTACTTATTACTGTGAAACTAAGAAAGCCACAAACACTTTGATTTGATTCTCACAGGACAGTTGTGTATACACTGAATGCAAATATGGCGTCCAATTTGAGTTGCCATTGTTCTGGACTGACTAGCCTCTCACACATGTAATAATCCTTTTGTATTTCCACGTGAAGACGAGGCTAGTCAGTCCAGAACAATGGAAATTCAAATTGGACGCCATATTTGCATTCGGTGTATAGTTCAACACAAAATTCAGGAGTGAGCAAACTCCCTACTGCTACAGTTCAGTTGTCTTGAACTGCAAGGACATTACCTATATAAGTACATGTATTTCTGGAGTTCACAGTTTCTGGGTGTCACAGTAACAGTGTGGACAAAATACTTTTGTTCCCTGAGAATAACAAAAAGTAGTCCTTTGTAAAAGTTTATCAGCATTCAGATTTTTTTCTGAAGATGAAAAGCTGCACAAACACGAGTCCACAGTAATGTGTCGTAAGTAAAACACAGTTTATAGAAATAAACAGGCTACTGATCTTCTTCCAAACTATGGTATACCACAGTTTCGCTAAGAAAAGCGTTGCATAATGGCCTAAAGGCATTGCATGACAAAGGGAAAAGATTTGAACTTCCAGCGAAATAAGAACAAGGGTAAACTGGCTGGAAGAGTACTGCTCGAAGGCACCTTAAAAAAATATAGCCTTTCAAGAGATATTTTCATTTTGCTACTGAAGCTTAACTAAGAGCATATGTGCTAAAATTTGTATTATGAACTTCTGCATCACCAGTAAGCTGCTTTTGAAGCTCTAGCTCCCTCATTTCTTCACCAGCCACGTTTAAATGTTTTCCTCAAAAGCGATGGCTCTTCCTCAGTTTCACGTGGCTCTACTTTGACACACAAAGTGCGATATATCCAATATTTCTCCTCAAAACTACAACAATCATTCATGGAACCCTCATCAGAAGAAACAGAACCATTACTGTCATTTAAAATAAAGAGCAGGGACGATTTTCAAGCAAGATCACTGCTGAATTTACTAATTACTTCAACAGAGCTTCCATGAAAGGAATAATATGACGTCACAATGGGGAAAGAGACTAAAAATTATTGTTGGCTCAGTAGTTATGGTTTGATTAATGGCGGACGAAATTTAGTGAGTTTTAATCAAAATTTTTTCAGACTTCTCTTGCCACGATGGGTCTGAATTGTATTTTTTCTTCTCATTTAGGATCTAAACTTAAAACGTCGGCATAAAAAATTGGTTTTGATGCACATCAATTTTGGTCTCAGTAGCACTTTAATAATAGTAAAAAGTATGGACTGATGGGTCAATGGAGCAATCAGTCGACAAGGCTTGGATTTTCAGTATTTTATAAAAATCACTAAGACGATAATCTGAAGCTGCAATTGCAAATTTAAAGAACATCAGAAACAAATCTCTTTGTGACGAAAAAAACAGAAAAGGGGTAATGAAATCAAAAGTACTTACATTTGTCCAACCTTGTCAGGTACATAGATTTAAAGTCAGAAACTTTCACACTTCCAGTTGAAAAAAAGGCCCTCAATTAAAACACCTTAGTAAACCATGTATTGCAAAATGTCAAGAAGAAAAAGAAAAAGGTGTTACATGTAAATCACGTGAGCTCAGTGGGCATAAATTAGTGTCCAGTCCATTGCGATTTCGGTAATGCAACAAAGTATGTTGGGAATAGTTAAAACTGTCATTCCAAGTGATTTAGGGTTACAAAATTTAATATAACTTAATGACTAGCAACTCAAATCAACTGCAGCTTTCCATTAATTTATTAACTAATATGAGATTCCCATTACTCAACTGTGATTATTTTGCAGACTGAGGTAAATTTTTCTCCATTCCACTTTGACTTTTAATTATATTTCCTTCTGTAAAGCAACAGTGGCAAGTGGGGAGATGAAGAAATTGAAATGTTGAGAAGTGCAGTTAAGAGGTTTGGAGATGACTTGAAGAAGATCAGTGGGCAAGTGAAAAGCAAGTCTGTGTAAGAAGATTAATTTGGATGTTAATTTAAAAAACTCAAATTAATAACTCCATAAGGGATGTGCTGTAGTCAGTCAGACTGATATCTGGCAGCAAAAATGATGATGAAATATAGCAGCAGCAGACTTATTCTTGACGTTGGGAAGTTTTGAGCTTCATTGGCTAATAGTCTTCTTAAACATTCAGTACTGATTTACCTTTGACCTCTACATACTGTATGTACATTGACTACTGGGGTATTCATGGTCTGGCACCATTGAAGGGTAGCACACACTTCCAAACCATAAGGTCTGCAAAGTGCAATCCTTTTAGAATTCTGTTTTTTATTTAAATTTATTTATTAATTGTATATTCTACTGCCCTCAACTGTTCAGGCATGAGGCTGGGCTGCTTTAGGTGTGTTTTGAGGGACTTCATAAAAATGTTTGCTTGTGAGGAAATAAGTGCAATAGAACTAGGAAACTGCAATGAGTTAATGCTAATTGCAAGAAGTTACCAGTTGCAGAGAATGAAAACTAAATGCATTTAAATCCCCATAAATAAAACTCTGGTGTACAGCATTGACTAACTTGCTCAATGATTAATCATTTAATTTCTCTGAGGTTCTCAATATTATCCCCGTAGCTGATCCAATAACAATTATGTTAACTTCCAGGAAGGGAGATATGCTTCCTGCTATTGTTTGGGGTGCAGTTAAATACTTGCTATAGTCTCACCTGTTCCCTTGAGTTTATTACAGCTTCTGCTACTGACATACAAAGCCATACTGTAGTCTTTCAGCTTGTATTGTCGCTAATATTGAATCTTTTCCTTGTTTTTTAATGTATTAGAGCACAAATAAAATCTGCATTGAAGAGAAGGATTCACGAACAGGATAACTCTCCACTGAGTACACAAAAAACAAAGAGTAAAACTTCACAACAAACATCTTTGAGCAGTGAACCCCAAAACAAAAAACGGAAAACAGTGCAAGGTAATTGACAGTACTGTTATTATGTGTTTTGTGTGGTGGTACATTATTTAATACAAGTCCCTTTGCAATGGAATCTATAAGTAGGACTGAAGCAAATTGGAGTCAAAATACTTAGTAGAGATTGTTGTTAGTATTGATTCTTCACTTCTTTACGTTCTGTCTTATTGCAGAATCAGCAAGCTCACATGCTGATCCACTGTCGTCATTTTCATCAGCCATTCCAAGCACCACTGTACCTGTGACAGATTTGCTGCCTGGAGGTTCTCCATTAAAGGCTAATGGTGCCTCTGATAATGATGTAGATATTGTTGGAATATTTAGTAGTGGTGATCAGGATGCTGTCTTTCCTGTAATGCCTGGAGGTAATTACAATTATCAATTAGATGACTTGGGTTGAGGTCACACTAAACCCTGTATTATAAACTCATTATATAATGAGACTACAATGTACTTTTTCTCAGTTTGTCATGATGATTACAATAAATGTACACCTAGTTTGCTATGTAGGATGCAGTAGTGGAACTAAAGCAGAGTTTAGCACAAGAAGTGATAAAATATGTCCTTGAAGCTTTGGAGTGATACGAACATTTCAAACAAGGGATTCAAGTATAGTCCTGTTGCTGAACATGTAAAAAGAGTGATGCTTTTTTGCTGATGTAGGCTCTCTACGGTTTTTTTTTTTTCATGTAGTCCATAGAAAGGTGAAGTTTGAGATAAATGTTGATTTTCTGGCATGATCCCAATCAGTTATTTTTTGCTTTCTCTTTTCAGCTTTAGGACCACTGGAAACCCAGATTGCAGATGAAATTTTGTCTACAATGTGAATTACTGGTTTGCTTGTTTCTGTTTCTTCTAAAAAAGAGAAATTGAACCCATAAATGTTGGTGATACATTTTTCTCTTGGGATACAAATGTGTACAGAGACAGTACCTTGTGAGAAAACGCACATGGGCATGGGGAGAGATGGCTGGGTACCTTTGATGTAGCAGTCTTTTATTTTCAAAAGCTCTTCCTTTTTCTCTTTCCACCAGAAAGGAATTGGCAAGACAATTTTTATCCTGGACATTGTTGATTTAACATTGCTGATTATTGTAGTGTTTTAGCACATGATGTTAAGGATATAAATTCACTTAGTGAGTATAGCTGTTCAACACCTGGATAAAATTATTTGTTTAGCTCTGATTTTTTGAAGAATGGATAATACTACCTAGTGAATTAATTACTAGTTGATAGATAGTGTACAAGTACAGTAGACTGTTTTCTTTGGCCTTTTTGCTGGATAAGGATCAATCAGTTGGACATCATGTTGAACGACTGAAGATAGTTGGACTACTATGAACTGATCAGTGCTAACAAACCATACTAGGCAGGTAACCTCCCTCCCTCCTTGTATACAGGGTTATACTGGTATAACCAAACACACCCAAAAAAGTAAAGAGTGCAACATAACTTGAACTTTTATATCTTTATTATTTATTTCTAAACTCCATGTATCTTTTAATATAAAAATAATTTTTTTTGTTGTTGTTTGAGTTGATACTGTGATTATCGTTTTTTCATTATGATACATTTTACTCTTTATATAAAATAGGAAATTACTACAAAAATAACTACCTTGTGAAATAACTATTAAGAGAAGCTGATAAAAATTTGATTCACCTACTGGTAAATTTGAAAAACATTTATTGTAACATATGGCTGGTTCATCATCACCAACAATACTTTCATTATTGACATCAACTCAGGTACATGTTTTAGTTCTTATTAACTGAGCAGGAGGTCTGCATGGGAGAATCTTGACCAAGGTCGCCAGTACAGACTGAATGCACTGAGGTCTGTACCAGCGACCGAGGTCAAGATTCTCCCATACAGACTGACCTAGCTAGCTCTGTTAATAAGATGTTTATTATATGGCTGTGTCTTATATGCCAATTTTTTATATTCTTTGTACCTTTTTTTTTTTCTAGATCGGTCTAGATGCCGGTCTAGATGGGAAAATCTAGACCGCTTTCAATATTGGTTTCAACCAATCAAATTTGTGAATTCGGTAGTTCCCAGTCCTTGTGAGACACAGCCATATAATAAAAGAGAGTACTAACACCATTCACAAAGTAACTAACTATTATGAACAAGACCTTTAGCTTCTGTGGTTTTAATGATAGTAAAGTTATGTTATATCAAAAAGTATCCTCTACAGACATAAATTTAGACACTGGACATCACAACTAAGTTGGCTTATTGAAAGGTTTGTCATAAAAGTCCCAAAAGTCGTCATTGGTGTCCTCATTTTGAATGATGTCTATTGGTTTTAAGGGTAGACTCTCTTCAAGTGGAACTTTCTCCTCATCAACAGGAGTCTGCTTCTTTTGTGCTTTTGGTTTGGGGTTGGGTTTCTTGAGTTTTGCTTGTGGTGTGGGTTTCTTTACTTTGTGGGTTTCTTCTTTTAGTTGGTGAGGAGGCCAGTTTGCTGTAATTCAATTTGATAGGTATTAAAATGTTAATTGTGGTTTCACTGTTGCTCATTTGATGAACCATTTCTCCATGTCATATACTTTTCAATGTTAAGCCCACAGGGTGGAATAAGGGCTGGTTATCCTTGAGATTCTACTCAAGAGAGCCCTTCCTTTGAGGGATTTTGACTTACTAGGTTACTAGGTGTAGTCCCAGGTCAAGTATTTGATATGCCCATCAATTTGAAAGACCAAGAGAACCAGCAATGAATCATATTACCCTGAACTCATGAAGAACTTTGTAATGTTCCCTTCTCTGGTAAGCAGCTACTCACCAGAAGTGACAATGGCTGGAAAGCTGACTCACTTACTAAGAAGAGACTTCTCTCAACAACTACTGACACCACATTAACCACTTACTCACCACATTCACACAAGAAACATATATCGGTACAATCTTTTCATACTAGTGGATCAAAACTGACTTATCATGAGCAATTTGCTCTAATTGAGTTTTAGCTGAAAAAAAAAATAATGATGGCAAAACTGGCTAATAAGTTGAAACGAACCACAAAAATAAAATGCAACAAACAGACAACTGAACCATGTTAATGACTTGTGTGGAGATTGCCCAAACATCTGCACCTACTTCTGAAAATATTCCTCCCACCCAGACACTCCAGCCACAGAAGGTCCCCTTACCCCCTTTGTTAAACTCAGTCACATAAACATATTTGGGCTTCTCACCCATCCTTAATAATATCCAAAACATTTTCACCCCCACCAATAATTCAAGAAAATCACATTGAATTAATATTTTACTTTTTCTAGTTTTGACACGCAAGAAAAGATGATGTGATGTCTTATTTGTTCAAGAACAACTTGTGGTCTATTTTATAACTTTTACCAATCCATAATTATGACATCCATCTCCTGGCAAAACCCTGGTCAAAACCTAACCACAGTCATTCAGGAACAATACATACATTGTCAAAACAATAAAATAGCTAGGAATTATCAGGCAAAACAAAATGGTTCACAAATCAAGTTTTAATTCAGCTTTTAATTCACCATTACATTTAAAGAAAAAAATTTGTTCCTCTGAACATGAAAAGATCTTATCATTTATCACCATTCACAAATAAAGCAAAAATCAAATCACGATTCACGAGGGAAAAAAAAATTCGCCATATCACGCTTCATATAAAAAGTATAGGGGACGCCACTATAGCATCAACACAATTGCATCTCCTGTAATAGATTGAACATTCTTTAAAGATTGAAAAGCCATATCCTTAGTTTTCTGTTAGAGGAAGTAATTCTTGGGGCTTTTTTTTTTCAGACATTAAGTCTGCGCTTAGAGCTGGGGAGCATGATTGGCCTCCACAAGGCTTAATTCCTTTGGGTCCTCCCCGTACACTACCACCCTGGGGCTCAACATTGACAGGTAACTCACTGTACAGTTCCTAGGATTTGCATACATAAAGGAAATTTTGACCCAGCATAGTATAGCAGTGAAATTATGCTCAAAGATAAACCCAGTTACCTGCCTGTTTTGGAAGAGAATCAAGATATGTGTTCCACTTTTTCTTCATTCTTTCATGACGAACATTAGCAGCTGACCACTTTCCAAACTCATCAGTTTGCACACCAAAAAACTTCTCCCTGTGTGACGGTGGAATCACTTGCTGTGTTTTATAAACTTTAGCTGTTGTAGTATGCCAGTGATTATTTCCAAGTCCTGGGAAAACATTGGATCTCAAAGCCATAGAAAGATTGTTATAATTTGATTTGTTCGCGTGCATGTCATAAGAAATTTCAGCAACACCATGTTTGAGATCAAATCGACCCTCTCTTTTAACTGTTCCTGAATTCTTCGTTATTGATGGTTGTAAATTGCTGGAGTAATGCTGGGGTTTTATCTCCCTCCACCTTCCATGACCATCCTGTACAATACGTCTCCTTGATGAGTTCAAATGCACATTCGATCGTAATACCTCTCGGCTCCCTAATTTGGAAGGAAATTCGGGTCTAATATATTCTTCAATGTCGAATAAGGTTTCAAAAGCGACTATTTCTGCCAAATCAGCTTTTTGTCTCTCTGATAGTCCTTTGACTGCCATTCTTATGTGGAATTCGTGTCACTATATATAATTACTCAGTTGCCCAGGTCTGTCGGCCATATTTACGTCGCATAGCAACGTGAATAATCCACAATTCCTTCCCGTGCGTCCTTTGCGGCTTAGTGAAAAAAGGAGGACATATCGTGTTGGTGAGAAAGATATCGAGCTCAAGTTGTACGGAAGCTTATCCGCTTGCGAAGAAATTCAGGTAAAAACATCTCGAGTTTTTAAAGGAAAAAGTAAACGGATTTTACTGAAATTATAAAAATTTCTGTAGAACGCTGTGTATAAATTTTCTCCAAGAGGTTCTGTGAAGAGTTCGAAACAAGATGAATAATATTCGAAACACATGGTTTACATAAATACAAAGTAGATTACTTGAGTTCACTCAGTTCAGAAAAGGATTTGGCAAGAGTACCATATAACCCCATACATTAATTATGCATTCGGACTAGTAGACTTTGTTTGTAAAGTTTTGTCGTGAAAGACAAAGAAGTGGAATAATGTATGGGGTTATATGGTACTTTTCCAAGGATTTTAAGTGGCAAAAGAAGTTAATAAACAGTTTACTGTTATTTGAACTTTTCTGCAGCTGAAATCATGCTAGACCTCTCGGTTATTGAATTCTAGATTCATGTTAATTAGTTCTTATTAACTGAGCAGGAGGTCTGTCTGGGAGCATCTTGACCAAGGTCGCCAGTACAGACCCAACACAGCGAGGTCTGTACCAGCAACTGAGGTCAAGATTCTCCCATACAGACCGACCTAGCTCGGTTAATAAGATGTTTTTTATATGGCTGTGTCTTATATGCCAATTTTTTATATTCTTTGTTTCTTTTTTTTCTAGACCGGTCTAGTAGATGCCGGTCTAGATGGGAAAATCTAGACCGCTTTCAATATTGATTTCAGCCAATCAAATTTGTGAATTCGGTAGTTCCCAGTCCTTGTGAGAGACAGCCATATAATAATAGAGATTAATATTCACACAAATTTTTATAGGGGTGGTGATGTTTGTAACATGAATGTTACATGCTCAAATCAAACCAGAAAAAGTTTTATTATAGCACAAGCTCTGTACTTTTAGAATAATTCTTAAGCACATGGCTCAATTCCTAACATACATTACAGTTCATGAGCTCTCAGTCACACACTCAATATAGCATGTTCGCACACCCTACACAATGTTTAATTAACCAGGAAAGTAACAGGATACAAAGAGAGATTCTAGACTTCAAGAATCCTATTCTTTGCACATGAAGACAAGAGCTCTTGGCAACCACACAGTAGGTACCTACTACAGCATTAAGATCTGGCCATTTGATGTACCACTTTAGTTTTCCTTATCTCTTGCATCATATTTTGTATTTAATAGGTTACTTCATGTTAAGAATGGCTCATCGGCTGACGTCCCACCACAGGGCATTATTTTCACCAAAGTATCTTTCTGGAACATCAGCACACATTACTACCACATCATATTTCAGAGCCCCATTTGATGTGAAAGACAAAGATGACTTTCAGAAAAAAGTTCTGGCCTCTGTCAAACCTGTCCTTGTGGACTTTCATGCTAAGTATGGAAATGTAATTTATTTTTAATTTTTTTCAATTGTTATATCCTATTTCATGGTTGTTGTCTATTTCTGGTCTTCAAGAAACTAATATTTCCTGGTTATCTCCCATGGAGCTTTTCAGTGACAGCGTAGGTGAGGCCTTACTTTGACTAATGAGTAATTCTACCACAAATAAATGAATGGAGGTTTTAGAACCACTGTAAACTGTTAAAGGTTGCAGGAAAGGTTTTGACAAAAATGAGCGATTACTAACACACACTTACCATATTAATAATACAGGTGAACCTGTATTAAGAGAAGAGATCACCCACAGGGAATGGTGGGGTGACTGCTTAATATTGGTTGACCATATATTACGGGTCACACAGATTGGGGCTACTGACCACTTAATGTACTGAATCTCACTCAAAAATACTACTTACTTTGATTTAGGGAAAGAAACATGGATTAACAACTACTTGAAAGATAATTCTTAGTTTTATTTGATTAGTTCTGCTTTAAGTGACCAAACAGTACAGGTGCCGGGAAGACAATGAAAACAGGTTGTTGGGACTACCAATAGCTTGGTAGAGGTGACAGCTTAATGAGGTGAAAATTGCAGTGATTCATGGGAACAAATTCAAGACTTTGACAACCCATCACTTAATACAGGTTCAATTGTTTTTATAAAAAAATTACATAGTCTGATTACCTTAAAACAAGTCCATTTTTCATGTAACACAAGTGCAAATTGTAACATGAGTGTAAATTACAAATGAGCCAATGCACACTGTCAAAATTTTGTCTTTTGTGATTTTCTGTGATGCATTTTTATGTAGATTATTAATGAGAAACAACATGATTTCTCAAGATAGGTAATTTGGTGTAAATAAGCACTTCTTCAAAGAAAACAAATTGCACTCTCCCCACTGGCTTATGCAATTTTTTTTCTTTGAAAAATTTACTTGAATGTGCTTATTTACACCACATGGCACTCAAAATCATGTTGTTACCTGCATGTATGCAAATTGCTTGTCATTTTTGCAATAAAGGTAATAATTAAAGTGCAGGTTTCTTAAAACTCATATTTTGCCCACACCTCATCTCTTAAACAGCTGGTGTGGCCCTTGTAAGGCTTTATCACCAAAGTTAGACGCAATAATGGGAGAAAAAGATGGCTTGTTAGAGCTGGCTAAAGTGGATATTGATGTCCATTCTGATCTGGCCATGGAATATGAAGTAAGAAGCTATTCGATGAAGTACAGACTAGTCTATCAAGTACTTTCTTAATTATATCAGTTGGTACTTGTGAAGTGATCAGTTAGTTTGGCAGGCTGTGTCTCACTGGACAGCCCACTAAATTCAAATGTTTGTATGAATTTAAAGCTCTCCCTCTATTTGAGTAAAGGCTGATAGTTTCGAAAGAAACTGTTGGGGGCTGCGTCGATGGGTGTAACGAAATAATTTGGATATATCAACAAAGTTGAAATGGTAAATTGGCCACCGTAACGATTACAAAAGCTGACGTTTCGAGCGTTAGCCCTTCACTCCAACAAAGGGCTAACACCCGAAACATCAGCTTTTGTAATCGTTACGGTGGCCAATTTACCACTTCAACTTTGTTGATATAGCCAAATTATCCCTCTATTTGAACCCAGTGATATGACAAATATCATTAACCAAGTCCAAGGTGGGCACTGTAAGTTACTGGACCTTCTTTGTTCCACTGATATTTACATTACTTGGTTAATAAGAGGTATATACCATACATCCCAGTATGTCTGCTGTTGGTGGTTTTTGTATCATGTTGATAAGTTGTCAAATAGGGTTAGCATAGCGTTTAGCATACAGTCATGTATTTTTTGTTGTTTTCTTGTGGTTGTTCCTTAGGTAGCAGGCATTCCTACTGTTTTGGGTGTAAAGAATGGAAAAGTTGTGAACCGGTTCACTGGACTAATAGAAACAAAAGAACTTAGAGAATTTGTGGAAAAACTTTTAAGTTAATTCTGAAGTGCTAATCTTAAAAAAAGAGCATAGTGTTGGAATCATTATTTGGATTTCAACAGTATAACTTTTGTCACCCTTAGCTATTTATCAGAACTCTGTCACATCACTGTACATGTAAGTTGGTTAATTTTAACATGGAACTGATAAAAAAAAAGGCTAGTAAGCACAATTAGAAATTGTTTGCATCTTGGTAATCCTTAGATAATGATTTACTCCAATTCCTTTATTTCTTACCTGAGAATAAAAAGCCTATAAACACTTTTAAGCCTAAATTATCAACTCGACAATGTGGGTGTTAACAAATGTTCTTAAGACAAGGTCAAGAAAATGATTAAACAATGAAATAGAATTAGTAAGCTTGGGAAGTTCAGTGATCAATAAAGCTTTTGTATATGCTGGGGTGGATCCAGGATGTAGTCAAGGGGGTTCAGAGAATTGCCCGAGGACATCCTCCCCCAGGAGATTTTGAAAATTAGGTCTTTGGAAACATGATTTCCAGCATTTTGAGGGATAATTTAGGGGGTTCGGCCGAACGACCCAAACCACCCCTGGATCCACCCCAGATATGTTAGTTAGGTGGTTATCAGTCATAACAACTGCAGTGTGTTTCATCTTCATAAACACTGAGAGAGGTTACCAGGACTGTTTTTCAAATTCTTGATTCAACATCATTTTGTCACTGTGTATTGCAAGTGTTGTTATTATTACTGAGAAATCTTACCAGAGAGGTGTTTTTTGTGCATTATTTTAATCATGTGATACAGTTACTGTGGCCTTAATTCTTAACTTGGTATTGTGAATGACTACTTTATCCTGGCTTGAGTATTTTAAAACAATAATAAAAGACTTAACATGCACAGCATAAACAGGATTCTGCTGGCCTGTTTGTTGAGCACAGAGTTGCAGAAGTCACCACTGCAACACTCAAAGTCGCACTGCTCTGCTTGCTCACATTGGCTGAGTTCTTCTTTGGTACACGTTGTCTTTTCCACACAGTCTCTGTAAAATGAATAATTTTACAATTTCTGACAGATCAAAACTGACCTAAACCACTTGAGTCGAACAGCTAATCATTCTATACAAACTGGGATTAAAACACTTGGCTGACAACAACTATTTCTTTGACTCTTATGATGATGTTGATCAGCGGCCACTATCTTTGTTGCATGTGTGTTGGGACATATGTTGTTAGAGTCCATGTTGTATGTTGACTTAAGATTAAATGGATTCATCCACTAATACTCAGGTCTCTAGACTATTACTCGTTCGAGTGTCAGTTAACATCAACAACAGTCCTTGTCATCGCCTTCACCTGTATGACTAGACTACGTAATTAAAAGTTACCCCAGGTTTAAACCTTGAGAGAAAATGTTTCTGAAACAAATTACGATTTGCTACTAACAGTAACTGCAATTCAATATAAAGTTTCTACAATTGTTCTATAACTGGACAGCTAAAAGTCACATTTGACAATTTAAGATTTGGCAGTAAGAGAATGTTCCTGTTTTGGCGTTTGATAGTAATTCCTTCTAAAGAAAAACTGTTGCCATTGTTGATAGACAAATAAAATATTCTCCTATTTAGAACATTATGCACCTTCCAGCCAAAAACAGAATTTACGCCCTTGAAAATGTTAACAGAGAGAAATTATTATTAGAGGGGAAATGATTACACATGGTCAAACTCAGCGTATCCTTTTTATGTATTTATTTATCTGTTTATTTATATGTTTACTTATATATCTTTGTTGTTGTTCCTTTTTTAATATCACTAGTTTGTTTGGCTGTGCATGGTGCAATTGCATAAACCAGGCAAACCATTCTGAGCAAATACATTTAATTGCTTTACCTGACAAACCCAGTTTCCCCATACCTCCCTCGGAAATCCACGGTTATACATCTGTCACTATCTCGGCTGCATTTTGTTTCATATCGTTTGTAGGCACATTCTTTCCAGGAGACACTGCTGACACACTTGAAGCAATTTAACACTTGTCCGTGACCTGAGAAAATGAAACACTTAAAATCGGTATTTTTTATTCTTGTTACGTTTCATCTGTTTCTTCACTTTTATTAAATCTGGATACTTCGAAATATGAATACATGTAACTCTGGGAACTTGTCTTCCGCAAATTCTCGGCTGGACGTTTACGTGCATGAATAGTATTTTGATCTAACAAGTTGTATAAACGACGAGAGTTTGCATTTGTAGTCATTGTCAAGCAGCTATGAAATAATTTTAAATTGTTTTTCTTTCTGCAGTAGTACTATTGTAATGTTCTGTTTCTATTCAATTAAGTTCACGTTTTTGCGTGAGGTTTTGTGAGAATTACTAACGCCGGTAGCCATTTATCTTCACCAGTATGCACGTTGTTTTCATTAGATGATTTTCATCGCTGGTTAATTTCAACCAAGTCAGTAGTTTCGTTGGTTTTTACAAGCGCCGAGTTGCTTTTATTTAAGAGTTTAAGAACGAGTCTCTGTAAGAATCAAACATCTTGGGAAATGAAAATTTTCAACCCCCCTTCAAATTTTGCATGCAGTTAGGCACTCAGGGGGAATGCAAAAAAAACGTCGTTGTTAAAGGTTGCAGCACTTTTGTTGCCATGGTAACAACGGCTGCTTGTTCGAGGCCTAGGGCCTCATTTTCATACAAAAACACCGCAACTGAAAAGGGTAAAATGTTTATTTCTCTATCTCAAGCTAAAACAACATTATCGATTGGTACTTCTAGCATACATAGTGAGATTTTTCGTCTTTACTTTGATGCATTCAATTTTCCCTGGGAGTGAATGTGAACACACCAATAGATTATTTATCTTGGTACAGTTTCGGTCATTTTTGCTGTAGGGTAAAACAGGGAAAACGTTTGTCTAAATTTCTCCAAAAGTACACTGATTCTGGAACTTAAACTCCGCACTTAGTTATAATCTAGTTTTTAAATATGTAAAAATCTCTGCGGACCGGCCTCTTGTTTTCATAGTGGCAATTTGCGAACGAAGCTCAAAAATCAGTTATTCAGTTAAATTGGCAACGTTTACATCTAATCTTCTCAACAACAAACGTTTCAGAGAAATAAAAAGTCAAGGCATTGAAAGAATGTTATCTTCTGAGCAATATCCAGGAGAGAAATCTCGCCTCTAGCTTTAATATTTAAAAAAAAATTGATGAACCTTTATGCTAGTCTCCCATCCAGGACTACCCGAAGTAACTACAAACATGTACCTTAAATCGTGTGCATATCATCCAGATTCCGAGTACTATACTTTCTTTCATGGGAATTTGAGCAGTCCGAAATCCTCTGACGATACACCGTTATACTTGTCTGTMACTTGAAACATGTTAAAGTTGGCTGATCTACACGAAACTATCGTAACACCGGTCAGTTGTCATAAACATGTACGTAATCACGGTGGCGTGACGCTGGATTCCTCCATGAAGTTTCCATCAGGTCGCTCCATAGAAGACGAGAAATGGACATTTTTCGATATTTCAGCAGATTTTTACATATTTAAGACTAGAATATTATAACTAAGTGCGGATTTTCAGTTCCAGAATCGGTGTGCTTTTGAAGAAATTTAGACAAACGTTTTCTCTGTTTTACCCTACAGCAAATATGACCGAAACTGTACCAAGATGAATAATCTATTTGTGTGTTCACATTCAATCCCAGGGAAAATTGAATGCATCAAAGTAAAGACGAACAATATCACTATGTATGCTAGAAGTACCAATCTGTAATGTTGTATTTAGCTTGAGATAGAGAAATAAACATTTTACCCTTTTCAGTTGCGGTGTTTTTGTATGAAAATGAGGCCCCAGACCTCGAGCAAGCAGCTGTTGTTACCATGGCAACAAGAGTGCTGCAACCTTTAAAAGGGCAATTTTTTTGCATTCCTCCTGAGTGCCTAACTGCATGTAAAATTTGAAGGGGGGTTGAAAATTTTCACTTCCCAAGATGTTTGATTCTTACCGAGACACGTTCTTAACTGCCGGACCTGGTTTCGCCACAAATTGCAAGTTCGTTTCGTTCACTTTTCTCTCGTTGTTCTTGTTGTGGTTCTATTTTGTACTTAGATATTTGTATTTTTTCATTTATTTTAGTCGAATCGGACATGTATCTACAAATGTTTACATCTATAATAGACTTCCATCTGGCAAATAATTAAATGTGCATTTGCTTTTTGTGGCGTTAAACGGTGAAGTTATCTATCTACACAGCTTTTGTGTTGTACTAGCTCACCGAGCAGTTATCGAGAGTCATCAAACGCAAAAGTATAAAACACTGAATACATCCGTGAAGGTTTGTAGAACACACTGAATTTTTGCGGGAATTAAAACAAGTTGGAAGATAATTTTTTTTATTATCGCACACTAGGAGTGCTTTAGCAAACCTCGGCTAATGAGTCGAGAGCGCAAAGGAACCAATTTATCATGATGTTTTTCTCGAGTGTTTTTTTTTTTCTTATGAAAAACACAATCCGTAGATCAATACTTTATCAAAAAGAGCAAAGTGAAAACTAAAACTAAGCGAAGCACAGGTAACGATACGGGAGTGACGGCTGTTACCTATAAATCTTCCACCCTAACTGAGTCAAATTCGAAAGCGAAATCTATTTTAGAGGAGTACTTGAGCTTAATATGTCCTCTCATTCTTAAATCTTTTCTGATTTTCAAATAAATCATTTAAGTTGGAGCTACGATCATGACAAAAGTCCGATAAAAGTTCTTCTTAAACCTGAGGTGAAATTCCTTAGTAACAGTTACTCACAGCCGATATGCAAGGCGAGAAGAAAAACGGAGAAGATCCAAAACACCTTCATTCACATTCTGTTCAAATCAGCATTTGATCACGTGTGACTGGCGCATACTCTGTTCAAAGGTGGCTCACAGCAGGCGAACTTTCCTAATTATCAGACGAAGCCACTAACGTGAACTGAGGAGCATGGATAAGCTATCATAAGACTCTTCACTGTCACATGAAGGGAAATTTCCAATTATGAACTGACGACGGTGTTTTTTACGAAACGTGTTCAGTCTGTGGTTTTATAGCTATGGAAATAGAGCCCAAAATCGATAGTTAAAACTGAATCGTAAACTGAGGTAGCAAAATTCACAGCTAAATCCAACATCCAAATCTGAAGCAAAAGCACAAACAAAGACCATGCACACTTCACTACAAGATTGTTTAACTCATTTGTAACCGGCGACATTCATATTTTTTCTCTCAAGCTGCTCGTTTTGGTTGTTTGACGTTTCGTTTTTTTTTCTCTTTGAACCAACCTCTCAGTCTCAATTTATAAAGAACTATAAAGCCCAGTTCAGTGCTGCAGTATATCATGGCATTGCACTCTTCTTGTGAGATGATCCCATAGTCTCACTTACTACTTCTTAAAATCGACAAGAGGCGCTGGGAAAAAAAAGCAGGCCAAACATTCTGAAAATCTTTGCCAGTCCGCTCAAAACTGGATCATTAACGATGGCGTCGATACCTGCTTAGCATGCAGACATGGATCATTTATGATTAAACCAAACTAATTCGTCATTATACGTCAACCGTTTCCTTAATCAACCGCATCAGATCAATCTTGCAAGCAAGAGGTTATGTAATCTCTTGAGTACTTATGAAAGCAATTAGGACTGAAGCACTGATTTCTTTTAATACCACAACTCTGAACTGAGTTGAAAATACACGATCACCTTAGCGATTGTCCGCTGTACCGGACCGATCGAAATAACTTAACTAATCCATTTGCTTAATCATAATAACGGGTTGAGAATCGTTTCCAGGTTTTGTTCTGGTCAGTGGAATGGGAAAAGCACGATGGAAAAAATATTCGTCAACGCGTAATAACTTGAACACCTTTTGTGG